ATAGATGGTTCTCCAACGCAGAGATCCCTCTTAAAGCCAAATCTATTTTACAAATAAATTCCAGACTGGTGTTACTTTGTTATTTTCAGATATTTCACAGTTATTTTCAGTTATTTTCCGAAACAGAGGGCTTTTTCTCATTGCCTAACACTGTAGCCTTGTTTGTTTCGACTAAATATAACCTTGTTGTTGAAATTAGTGTTAGGTTTAGTTACCAGGCTCACTTTAATTGCAACTAGAGCAGTTTGAAGCAGGTATGACTTTATGACTGTTCAATTTTAATACTGTTTTTTATAGTTAAAAAGGTGAGATGACACTTCAATAGCTGTGATTTCTGGCAAATTGTGTTTTTCTTGCACGCTCAACCTCACTCTGTGCTGCCTGGATGGGAGCGCTCAGCCAAACACAGCTTGCAGATAAGAGATATATTAAGCCAAAGCTTAATTGCAGTTGGACCGACCTTCCTTCCAGGCACTGCAAGGTCTTTTAGAATTTTAGAGAGATGAGGCCTCGTTCTTTCCCCTTGGTTCAAGCCAGAGAAATATTGAAAGCAAAAATGGAGTTTTCCTGGGTTTTTAGGATGTTTGAGACAGGCGGGAAGGGGTTTCCCTGCAGAAAGTGGGTTCTCCTGGTCGGTAAGTCCCAGCCCTTCAGTCTTCTGCCCTTGAGTTGAAAATGTTTTCAGCCAAAATGAATAATTTGAAGAAATTTATCTCGCATGAAAGAAAATAGGCTGGAGTTTTTAATCAGCCCAGGACCTTTCTTGTGCCGCCGGCTTCGTCTGTGGGCTTAGATTTCTTGCTTTAGCAGCGGTGTCTGTCCCCCAGCTCCAAAATGATGTTGGTGAGGCTTAGACCTTGTTCCACGTGTGGCATCGAGGAGCTGGGGAAGTGACAAGGACGGGACAGGCCCTGCCACCAAGACACCAGAGTGCTCTGGCAGCTTCTGGTGGGTCTGTGAGAGATGCCCCAGGCCAGCAGGAGTTGGGTGTGATGCACAAGAGGTACAGCATAAAGTATGATGATAATGAGACCTTCTTCGTTAGCTTCACTGGTGTTTATTCAGGCTGGTGAAGTGGCTTTGTAGAATCATAGAATGGTTAGAGTTGGAAGGGACCTTAAGGATCATGGAGTTTCAACCCCCTGCCCTGGGCAGGGACACCTCCCACCAGCCCAGGTTGCTCCAGGCCCCCTCCAACCTGCCCTTGAACCCCTCCAGGGATGGGGCAGCCACAGCTTCTCTGCCCAACCTGGGCCAGGCTCTCACCACCCTCCCACCAAACAAGTTCTTCCCCACATCTCAGCTCCATCTCCCCTCTTTCAGGGTCAAACCCTTCCCCCTCCTCCTAGGGCTCCCCTCCCTCATCCAGAGTCCCTCCCCAGCTTTCCTGGAGCCCCTTTAGGGACTGGAAGGGGCTCCAAGGTCTCCCTGGAGCCTCCTCTTCTCCAGGTTCTCCCCAACTCTCTCAGTCCTCCCAGCAGACTGAAATCCCAACCAAAGAGCTTCAGCACCCGTGTCTCCTTATTTCCCTCTTAATCCTCCACCTCTGGTTCTTCCCTGGCGAGCAGCTCCTCGGATGGAGCTCACACGGGAGGGACAAACAGCAGCCACAGTGTCTGCGCTTGGCCTTCAGCCCCACACATTTTGGGAACAAAAACCCCACAGCAAAAAACACAGGGAGATTTTTTTTATCCACGCTCAGGGGTGCACAGGTTCTTGGGCTGCTTCCTTCCTCTTAAGGGCTTTTCTTGTTAACCTCAGTGTATTTCTAAGAGCTTTTATCTTCTTCCACTCGCTGCTGCAAAACCTCCATCCTATTGTTTTCTTTCCCTTATTCTCTTCTCCTTCTTCCCATTTCTCTCTCTCCTGGAACATCATTTTAGCCCTTGTTTACCAAGGAAGCCCTTTTATTCCTCCCTCTGTCCCCACCACGGTCTGGCTCCTGCTCTGCTGTCTCAGGAGCTCATCTCCTCCTCGGTGCCAGCACAGGAGGACAGGAAAAGCATGAGATAAATTATTTAGAGTTATAATTTATATATAATTAGAGTCAGCAGAGAAGGGAAGAGAGCAGCACTGTGTTTGTGGCACAGTCTTGGAGCCTCTGGGATGTTTTACACGTGCTTTTGGGTTTGCAGAAGAGATTGATGCTGACCTTTGCCCATTTTGAGCTACAAAGTGGGGGGTTTTTTGAGTACAAGAGGGTTGTTTTTTTTTTCCACCAGCTCCCCATTTCACTTGTTGCTTTTGCTCTGGAAAACCCAGGCCAGTGGGGTTTGTGGGGGGTAATTAATCCAGGCAGAGCGGGACGGGCAGGGTTCAGGCACGTGGAAGGTGACCAGGCCAAGAGACAAAGCTCTCCAAAAGTGGCCCTGCCATTTCCAGGCTGGAACAAGTCTCGGAAGCCGTTTGGCTGGATGTTTGCAGCCTGATTTTTTGGTTTGGTTTGGTTTGGTTTTTAAATTGGGGAGCTGGGGCAGAGCAGACGTGTCCCTGCAGCCGAGGCACGCAGTGCTGCCAGCTGCCCACGAGCTGAACGTGAGTGTTTGAGTCCCCACCATCGTGCAGGCAGGCACGCACGGCCAGCAGCTGGGTGCTAAAGCTGGTTTTTAAATAAAAAAAACATCTTTGTGGCAGTTGAGTGTGCTTTTGTTTAAAAAGAAATGGAAAACAATCCCACCACTTGCTTATGATCTTGCCTAGTGCCCAATTCTTCTCCTTTTTTATCTTTGTGGCAGTTTGTGGCAGTTGAGTGTGCTTTTGTTTAAAAAGAAATGGAAAACAATCCCACCACTTGCTTATGATCTTGCCTAGTGCCCAATTCTTCTCCTTTTTTTTTTTTAAATATCTTAGAAATTTTGCTTCCTAAATTCCCAGTGCATCAAATTTGCTTGCCTAGTGCCCAATTCTTCTCCTTTTTTTTTCTTTTAAAATATGTTAGGAATTTTGCTTTCTAAATTCCCAGTGAGTTGAATTTACTGGGTGTGAGAGCCCTGGGCCCGGAGGGAGAGGGGGCGAAGCACTGTTGGGAATTGTCAGAACCCTGATGCAAATAATATTTTCGTTAATTGGCTGCTGAGACATGAAGCTTTTTGTAGGGAAATTTGGAAGAGAAGGGCTTCTTGGATCACCTGGGGAGCAGAGGACCTGCTGTGCTGCCTTCTCTCAGCGAAACGAAGCTCAAATGGGAAAAATCTTGCTTAAGTTGGGGGAAAAAGGGCAGTTCTGCTGAGATGGGCATAGACTGGTGTGAGTCGGATTAGTCTGGAAATGAGGGGGGAAAAAAAGGCTGTGAATCAATAAGAAGTAGATCTGTGTGATAATGAAAAAGATAAAATATTATGTAGTGTCTGCAGGAGTGAGAAGTGGATTTGGGTGCGAGAAGCCGCTTCCGAGCCTCTCTGTGCAGCTCGGGAAGGCTTTTTGGGGGATGTAGGGGTGAAAGTGAACCTGCAGAGATTTGCAGAAGCTGAGGCTCTGGGTGAGAGTGAAGGTGAGAGGCTGTGAGCGATAAGTACCCCATGGGGGGCCCAAGAAGAGAAGCGTGTGGGATTTAATCTCTGAGTCGGTCACCGGTTCAGAGGAAGAAGAAACGGGCGGCCGCGTCCCTCAGCTCTCAGTTCTGCAGAGTCATTGTAGTGTGGAGCCCGTGCTCGGGGTGTCCCGGGGTCAGAGAGGCAACGTGGGGTCTGTGATTGCTAGTTTTTTGGGAGGTGTTATGTGAAGGGGGGTGTTATCTGAAGGGGGGTGATGGGGGGAGCATTTTCTGCACCGAGTGGCTGGGGGAAGCAGATCTGGGTTTGAAACCTTTGCGTGCGGTTGAATACTGGTTTGATTTGTGTAAATACATGATGCATAGAATGGTTTGGGTGGGAAGGGACCTTAAAGCCCATCCAGTGCCACCCCCTGCCCTGGGCAGGGACACCTCCCACCAGACCAGGTTGCTCCAAGCCCCCTCCAACCTGCCCTTGAACCCCTCCAGGGATGGGGCAGCCACAGCTTCTCTGGCCAACCTGGGCCAGGCTCTCACCACCCTCAGGGGGAAGAATTTCCTCCCCAGATTTCACCTCAATCTCCCCTTTTTCAGCTTAAAACCCTTCCCCCTTGTCCTGTGGCTCCCCTCCCTGATCCAGAGTCCCTCCCCAGCTTTCCTGGAGCCCCTTGAGGGACTGGAAGGGG